ATAAGAAAAAAATCCAGCAAGATGAATTTGGGTTTATCTTAAGAAAGAATAAGGAAGAGAATTAAGAATTTTAAAATCCATAAATTAGAATTTATGATTGGAGGAAAAAAAAACAAAACAAGAGATTCTCAACAGATACAGAAAAACATGACAAAATGGCAAAGACTTTTATCTACAAAAACTCAAAACAAATGTTTTTCTTAATAGAGAAACCTTTCCTTGGGCTGGCCACGGTGGCACATGGCTATAATCCTAGCACTCCAGAGGAGGCTGAAGCAGGAGGATCACCATGAGTTGGAGGTCAGCCCCTGGGCTACATAGTGAGCTTAAGGCCAGCCTGAACTACACAGTGAGACCCTGTCTCAAAAAAACAAAAAACAAAAAAACAAAACTGGGAATGTGACCTGTACGCCCACTATAAGGAGTTACTTTCTAATAAGCAATCATAATCACTTCTGTGAACATAGATCTAAAAGTGTGTCAGGATATTTAGATAAAAAGGGAGAGAGGGGAATTGGAAAGAAAGAATCTAGACTGTCACCATTTGCAAATGATACAATCGTCCACTTAGAAAACCAAAAGGAATTTCAGAAAATATACTAGCGATAAAAGCTTACAAGTAGATGGCTAAAGATAAATAGAAAAATTTTCATTAAATTTCTAATTATTAACAATTATCAGAAAACAGTCGTATACTGCCATTTATTATACCAACAATTAAAAACATCGGCATCAACACTTAAAAAGTAGACGATTTCTCTGGAGAAAATTATAACACTATACTAAAAAGACATTAAAATCCTAAATAAGTGGAAATACATACCATCTTCTCAGATAGGAGGGCTCAAAATCTTAAAAGGTTTCAATTCTCCCCAAAACCGATTCAGTCAATTCCAATTAAGTCCCAGAAGGTTCTCACGTCATTAACAAAGCTGATTCTTAAAGAGCAAAGGTGCAAGAAGAGCTAGACTCAAGTCCTCCCCAGAGATCAAGATTTCTGGTAAAACTAGAGCATTAATAATTAAAACAGCACGGGCAGCAGCACAGGAATAGAGAAGATGGCAAGGGACACAGAAGGCGAGCCAAAGCAGACCCATGCACACAAACCCAACACGCAAGAGATGACACGGAGGTCACTAGGGAACAGAGGGCCAACTCCACACATGGCACAGGGGTCACTGGGGCCACGTGGGGAGAGAAAATGAATGGGGTCACATCACACACAAAACCAGTTACAGATGGATTATGAATTTTTTGAACTATGAATTTTAAAGTGAAAAGCATTTAAAAACCTCTAAAAAGAAACACAGGAGAGTATCTTTATAAGCCCAGAGCAAGAAAGGTTTCAGTTAGGTTACATTCAAATTAAGACTTTCTGTTTACCAAGATACAACATAAAGAGTGAAAACACAGGCATATAAAAGATCAGTGCTACCAGTTTATCAGTTTTACAGCTCCATAGAAATAGAAAAAAACGGGTAAGAAGACATGACCAGGTATTTCATATTATGGAAATACAGATGGTTCATAAATATATGAAAAGATGTTCAATCTCATTAGTAATCAAAGAAATTCAAATTAAAATCAAAATGATGCACCTTTTCATAACCATTCCACTGGCAAATATTAAGAAGTATGATATAACAAAGGCTAGACAGGTTACAGATCAACTATAACTCTTATACTCCACTGGTGAAAATATATAAATTGACAAAAATTGTTGGCCAAAGTATAAGCTAGTAGAACCACTTCAAAAAAACTGGAATCATACCATGAAGTTGCACATTCATGCTCCTTGACCCAGCAATTCACCTCTAGCAATCAGCTTACTATGGTGATATTCCAGCCTTTTTGTTGTTGTTCACAAACCACCAAAACTGTTTTTGAAAATTATATGCCTGTCACATGTTACAATATCTAAAATTTTTCTGCATTAACTTTAAATTGCAAAGGATGAATTTCTAGAGTATTATTATGACATTCAAAGTAAAACTCATGATTCTTTAAAAGTATAATTGGCACACAATTGACCAAAAATAACTGTACTCACTGATAAATAGAAAAAGTGAAATTTTATTGGAAATGCATCTCTTGAAGAAATGGAAGAGGCGGTACATGGATTAAAAAGAGGCCTTTCCCAACACTATATACTGTATTTTAAATCATCCTTTTGTATTCCAAATTTTTTCCCACGTGGGTATGTGATCTGCTTCTCATACAAAGTGCTACTATAAACGTAAAGGTGGGAAAATTGAACTTTCAGGAGGCCTCTATCACAGGCTTCCGGCATTATCAATTTTAGGAAAGGTATATAAAATTTAATGATCTAGAAATTCATTCATAACAACACCTGTACCCAGATACTCCTTAGAAAATCTTTATTTCCCTAGAGTCATATACACCAGGATGAAAATTAGAGAAATTCTTAGAACTCTGTACCAGAAAATATGTACAAGAATCTTCAAAATTAAAAAATCTAGACACAATCCCAAAATGCCCACTAACAAGAAAATGCATGAACTGTGTTGTATTCACCCCTCAGAATATTACACAGCAGTTAATTAATGGCTCACATCTATACTCAATGACAGAAATACATCGAGTGAAATAAGTCCCAGAAGACTATAACCAGAATGATGTTTTAATGCAGAAACACAGAAACCATATAATACATTGTTGAGAGATGTATACAAATCTGATGAAATTATTTTTTAAATGCAAGTAATAACATACAATTCAGGATAATCATCTTAGGTGAGCACATTCAATATTATTTTGATTCTTGTTCGTCATTTCATAGGTGTTCATTTTGTTTTGCTTCACAGCTTGAATATGTTACATATATTTTGAATATATCAAATGTTACATTAAAATGAAGAGTTTTTTAAAAAACATTCATCACATCAAAAAATGCTTTTAATCACTTCACTTGCCATGAGAGACGTACAAATTGTATATCTATTATACGTGGAAATCCTACCTCTATGTCAACCACAGCAACAACTGTATATAATGAATGCTCACAGAAATTAATTTTATGAGGCTCAAATGTGATAAAAACAGCCATTTAGCTGTAAGAAATGAACCCATAAGCAAATACAGGGCTAGGGCAGAAGCCAAGGTGGCTAAAAGCAAACTTAGCAAGCTACAGTTAAAAAGAAGCTGGTTAGAGCCGGGGATGCAGCTCAGCAGCACAACGCCTGCCCGGCAAGCTCGAGCCCGCTAAGTTCCATCCTAAGAAAGAAAAAGAAAGAAAGGAAGGAAGGGAAGGAAGGGAAGGAAGGGAAGAGGAGGGCATCTGTAGTATCTGGTTAAGAAGATGCACACTGGGCTGGGGATGTAGCTCGGGGGCGCGAGGCCCTGAGTTTGATTCCCAGCACCAAAGAGAAGTAAAAAAAAAAAGACCCCCTCCCATATTTCACTACCCAGTAAATCTGCTAGTAGGTGTACTTCTTGAGAAACTTCCAAATGTGTGCATCGCAGGCAATTACAGATTTACTGCAAGACTGTTTTTAGGGCTCAAAAACTGGAAACAACTTTGGAGTCTATCAATAGAAGAGTGTATGCATAAATTACGGTATATTCATACATACAGTGTAATTCTATACCAGCAATTAAAATGAACCAAAAAAGCACATTCACTTTATTAATATATAAATTTCAAAATGCAATGCTGAGTGAATAAAGCAAGTTGGAAAAAGACATATATAGTTTAACACCATTAAAGTTTAAAAACCAACAATATATGTTTATAGATTCACATCACTAATGTATGAAATATGCAAGGAAATCATTTACCCAAACTTGTGGCTACCTCTAGGAGCAGGAGGAATTGAGACCACGTCCAAAGTCTTTTTTTTTTTAAGGATTTGAGTAAATTTGGCAAAACAATTATATCCGTAAAACCTAAGTCATGGATTGGTTAGACACCCCTCTGTGCTTTATATTCAAAATATTCCCGAAATTAAAAGATTAAAAAGAAAGAAAGAAAATTAGGCAAGCGTAAGGAAATTGAGCAGAAGAGGCATCAAAACGCAGCCCCTCAGCGCCAAGCAAGCATCCTTGAGGGAACGCGGTAGCGGGTGAATCCCTAAAGGTTTGAACTTTCTGTCCCTATGTATCTTTATAATCCCATTTTCGTTTGGATAAAATGGAAACTTGTAACAAAAAATGTCCTAACTGGGGCAGTACTTTTGTGGAAACTGCTCCCAGGGAGGAGCGGTAAAATCTGTAAGATTTTTACCTTGTTTCCCTTGCCAGGCTATTGGGCAGAATCAGAAGAGATTTATGTGAATGCCCTAATAACACCCTATGAAGCATACAACCCGAAAACCAGGGACCTCTACAATGGATTCACCAGTTAGCGTGGAATCATATTTTGCAAATAAACAGCTTTTGGAGTCTGGGGCACCTGTGGAAAAGGTACACAATCATCTACACCTCTGCTCAATTTTAGTCTTTGGTCCCCCATCGGTCCCCAGAGCAGGATGGCTGGACAGGCCACACTGACGTCGCCAACACCGCAGCTGCCAGGCCGCCGGCGCCCTCCCCCTCGCCTGGCGTTTTAGGGGAGGGAGGGGGTGCTCAGCAGAGGGGCCAGGGAGGACGAGCGCCAGGCTGTGTCCCCTCCCCGCTCCATCCTCAGGAGGGCATCGGCCCCGGATTAGGACGACAGTTCTCCCAAAAACAGGTGGCGAGAATTTAGGGAACCTGCACACGAACAACCAGGCAAGGGAACCGGACCCCTGCGTAGTGCGCACTCGGGAACATGCAGGGCGCGCGCGCGCGCGCGCGCGATGCTCCACACAAGGATCACAGCCGCAGGTGGCGCGGCCACGCGCAGCGGGGGATGCGCACCCCGTGGAGGAGGGCAGTGACGCGAGGGGTCCCCCCACCTCCACGGAGGCCCGGAGCAGCCACGCCGCCCCCGGGGAAGGGGAGCAACGACACAAAGGGAACAAGCAAGGGACACACGGCCGTGCGCCCGCGCGCTCAGACCGAGGGGCCCGGTCGCCTATCGGGGGTGTCACCCACGCACGGGCCAGGACCGGGTGTCCGGACAGCAGGGGTGCACGCGCGAAGGGGCGGCTCCGTCAGTCGCACCGTGCGACACCCGGGGACCCACCTCGCGAAGGGATCAGCGGACAAGGGGAAGACACCCACTAGGGCAGACAAAAGCTGCCACACCCCCTCCGCGCAGACCCACGCGGACACAGCAGGCACCTCAGCGAGCGACACGCGCGATGCGCGCACACCCACACTCACCACACACCCACGGAGGGGGTGTGGAAGACCCGCTCCCCGGGCATCTCGGCTGCGGCGGGACAGGGTGACACGTCTGGGAGCCCTGCCGCGCTCAGGGTGTCCGTCCACTCACCCGGGCCGGCAGCCCGCGAGCCTCGGACGCTGGCAGCAGCCGCCACCGCCTCCGGGGCCCCGAGTGAGCTGCACTGTGGGAGGGAGCGGGAGGCCGGTGCGTCACGTGGGCGGGCAGCGCGCATGCGCACTCGCCGCCGCCCGCCCCCACGCTAGCTGTTCCGCGGCTCCCAGCGAGGGTCGCGCTGCGCCAGTGCCTGGGCGGTGGGCGGGGGCGGTCGTCTTGCCTCGGCCGCCCCCTCGGTTCTGCTGCAACCCCCTACTGCGTGTTCCAGGCTGACGCTTGCGCAGAGAACTCTCCGCTGAGGTGGTGGAGGGGTCGAAGAGGCCCGCGTCGACCTACGCAGCACTCACGGTCAAGGGCCTCCCGCACCCCAGGGCAGATGGGGGACACATTGCCCTGAACCCACCCCACCCCAGAGGGCAGGGCCCAGTCCTGGGCGTCCTGGGGGCGCCCTCGGGCCTCGCTTCCCGCGCAGGCCAAGATCGCCCCAGCCCGCCCCTGTGCAGCAAAGGGGGAGGGGGGCGGCGGGGATGCTTCGGGCGCGCGTCACGCGAGGGGGCGTCGTGCTCAGGGCACAGTTTTGCACTGCAGTGATCATTCCCGAAGCAAAGCCAGGAAGTTACGACAGCCCAGTGGTGAAGGGGAGTCAATCACTGACGACATCTGTGTTCCTTTCCCACAGATTGTCTAAAGCCACGGGGAAAATGGTGGAAAATTCACCGTCGCCATTGCCAGAAAGAGCGATTTATGGCTTTGTACTTTTCTTAAGCTCTCAATTTGGCTTCAGTAAGTACTCCCCCGGGAGGGTCTTTCTCTGGTGTCCAAGCACCAGGAGATAATGCATTTGTTCGTGGAAGGCGCAAACATGAACTATTGATTCGTCCTACTTACATCTCTTTAAGAAGACCTGAAAAGAAATCATGTTTGCTGGAATCTTCTATATGTCAGCACTAGCCTAAGAGTTTTAGTCTCAATAGACTTAGCCTACACCAGGCAGGATGGCAAAGTGAGTAAAACCTGGTGCTTACCCTTAAAGGGGCCATGGTCTTGTAGAAGAGTAAATCTATAGTTATATGACTCAAGCTGGGAAGTCAGCTTCCTCCCAGAAACTGTCCCTAGCACTTACATTACAGAAGAAGGCATGACAAGATCTGAAGTCAGGAATTCGGAACGGCTCCCAAGTATTTTAAACAGAAGCTGTCTTTCTCGAAATAAATTCTTACTACTCTTAATGTTCATTGTTCCTAGATTCTAGAAAACATGAACTCAGTGTTTCCAGTATCTAGCAGGTTGGGAGTTATAATATTTCCCTTACATTATTTGGCTAATTTGGAGGCCTTGTATCATACGCCCTATATTAAAAGTAGTGTGCAGGAGCTGGGAAGGGAAGAGAATTGGCCTAGAGAAGTTGGGTTGAAAGATGTACCCTTCACATCCCAGAATCTCAATCTCCATAGAGTTCCACTTACTCATAAGGAAACTGGTGCTCACTAAGGGACTAACATGCGCAGTCACATGTCAGACCTCAAGTCCTGCCCCAAAGGGTTTTGGAATTATGAGGCAGTCAAGAGGAAGAAAATTGAATGCCTCCAATCTAACCTTTTGGAACCTGGTGGAAACCAGGAAGGTGGGGGAGTAGTGTTCCTTCTAAAAAAATACCAACCTAAAGGCCTCACTGTGGCCTAGTGCAGTCTGAATTAGTAATAATGAGTACACATTCTGACTCCTCCAATTGGTGAGTGAGTGACTTGGGGCCATTTACTTCTTTGAGCCTTCAGTTTTATCTGTAGAAGGGTATGGATAATGATGTTTATTGACTGCTTGTTAAACACAAACCACAGCCCTGTGAGGTGTCGGTACTGTTATTGTCATTTTAAAGATGAGAATCCTGGGGTTTGAGCCACTTGCCCAAGGTGACAGCTAGTAAATGAAAGAGCTAGAATTTGAACCCAGGTACACTGGTTTTACTCTGCTAACTCTTGTTAACTGGGATCCTTTATGTAACTGTAAAGAACATAAGTAATAAATGTTAGCTGCTGTCATTACCATTTTGTAAATTCCTATTCAAAGAGTATTTCAAGGGTTAGAAGTGATACAAATAAAAACAGTGACTGTAAGGCTTAACCACAATGATACTTGTTACCAAAACTTAATTCAAGAATTTGAGTGCTTGCCATATGCCATGCACGGTGACAGGTCAGGGAGAAGTAAGCTAGCGAATTCTCACTCTACTAAGAGCAGCGTGCCAATGGACAAATTAAATAAGTAGAAGGTATACAATGCCAGATGATAACATGTACTATGGGCAGAAATTATGCAAGGGGAAGGAAGAAGAGTGGAAAAAAAGTTCCTCCATTGTGTTCTTATGTCATCTTTTATTGTTCCTTACCACATATCACAATATAGTGAAAAGATCAATTTATCCCTGTTCACCACTAGACCTTTTTTTTTTTTAAGACAGGGTCTTTCTATGCAGTTCAGGCTGGCCTTGAGCTCATTATGTAGCACAGGCTGGCCTTGAACTCATGGCGATGCTCCTGCCTCCTCCTCCTCCTCCTCCCGAGTGCTGGAATTAACAGCCATGCACCACCATACTCCACTCACCACTAGATTTTAAATTTAGGGCAGAAGCCATCCCTTCAGGGTTCACCACTGTATCTCACACTCCTGATAAGAGTTCTACAATACATATTTATAGGGGAAAAAACTAATCTATCATTATTTTGTTGGTTTTTTTTGGTACCGGGGATCGAACTCGGGTCCTTGCGCTTGCGCAGCAGGCAGAGAAACCACTGAGCTAAATCCCCAGCCCTAATCTATCATTATTGATGTACGTAATTTGAAATTTGTCCCTACCACTTCCCTTGGCCAGAAAAAACACCCTAAGGCTGTTTCTTCATCTGTAAAAACTGCATACATATCTCAGGACTGTTTTGAGGATGAAATTAAATAATGCAGGTAGGGTTGTATTTATCCACAAGTGTGCACTCAGTGCTTAGCTACTGTTACTACAAGGGAACAACCATAAAGGCTGCTGCCAAGATTTGGGATTGAGGGATAGAAGATTGTACTCTGGGAGAGAAAACAGAAGCTCACTGTGTAGTGACCAGAACTGGAATAAATTCCCCTCTAAGCAACTTAACATCTGTAACTGCTTCGACCCTATGGGGATGTGGGGGTGAAATACTGAATATCTAGTGTAAATACAGCAGATTGGTCAGTGCTGTAAAAATTATAATCAATAAGGCATGATTTGTGCCCTTGAATTGCTTAAAGTATAATGTGGGAGTTAAGGTGTTAAAAAATGACTAACAGTAAGGTAATTATGATAAGTACTAGAAGAATGGTACAAATAAGGAGCTAGAAAACTGAAAAGAAGGAAAAATCATTTCTTAGGGAATCAGAGATGCCAAAAGAGCTTTTTTGTCATAGCCAAACTGTACTGGATTGAACACACATCTCACTGACTTTTCTTTTCTCCTCCTACAGTACTTTATCTTGTGTGGGCTTTCATTCCTGAATCTTGGCTACAATCCTTAGGCTTAACCTATTGGCCTCAAAAGTAAGTTTAAATTTCTTAAATAAGAGTAAAATTAATGCTGTTTTGAAGGATCATATTCTTCCTTAAGATAACCCAACTCATACATAGCTATTCTTTAAAATCCATGAATAGGCATACGGAAATTAAAAGCTTTTAAAAGATTATTATTAATACACCTCTAATGAAAGATAGTGGGGTGAATACACATTGTACTTCCATTTCTTCATAAAACCTTGCTAAAATGACCCCGGGGTGGGGGGGAGGAGTTTAAGGTGTAAGTCCACAGAAATAAAGGATAGCATATAAGAAGAATCAACAAAATTCTGAGAAGTAGATTGAGATAAGGAAATTTCTGTGTTATCTTCATTGCTGGAATAATGAAGTCATCAAGAATACTTGTGCCCTGAACTCCACAATGGCTCAGACACAGGACAGCAAACATGTTTAAAGAACATTGGGCCCTCAAACCTCTCTCTCTTACCCCTCATACCAATCCTGCCCTTCCCTGCAGAAAGTATTTTCGACCTATGGGAAGGCTGAGGGAGTCTCTAGCCTGGGGCCAATGGGTCGGAGTTTGGATATGAACCACCCTCTTGGAAATAAGTGGACATCTGCATGGCTGACTGATAAGCTCCAACCCCGCTCCCAGCAGGCTCCCTAGCTTATGCCACCCTCTCTTCTCAGAAACAATTGGGAGGAAGCTGACCAGTATAAAAGAAAAGGATCTCTAATTTCTAACCCTTGGACAAGCCCAGTAAAGGGGCCAGATATCCTACTGGCAGGCTCTGCAGTTGAGCCTCCCTGCCCACATACACACGTTGCGTCTCCTTAACATGTGAACATTTCATTCTTAAATATGGATTGATCAGCATAAATTACCAGACACTGAAAGAAAACCTCTAACATGAACTACAAAAAGAAAAAGGGAACGTGGAGAAAATGCCAGGTATAGAAGAAAAAATTTTAAAAGACTTAAATCTTCCAGGAAATATAAAAAGACTGTGTGAAACAGCATGCTGTACAAAAGGAATGTTTAAGGAATTACTGCATTTAAAAATTATAAATATGATAGGGCTGGGGATTTAGCTCAGTGGTTTCGCCGCCTGCTGTGCAAGCGCAAGGACCTGAGTTCAATCCCCGGTAAAAAAAAAAAAAAAAAAGTTAGAACCCTTGATGCACTTAACTGTACTGAGAGGTATGTTGGAGGACTGGAAGCTGGAGTATTAATAAACATATAGGAAACCAAACATACACAAAAAGATGTAATTACTAATTCCAGAAAACACAAAAATATACACTAAGGTTCTCAGTTGCAAACACTGTACAGTCATGATAGTTTTTAAACACTAATATAACCAGGAATTATGACCTAATTATAGCAGAGAATAGAAGAAGGCAAAGTCTTCATCTCCTTTTCAGGAAGTCTAGAGAAAATGTCTGAAATTGAAAAAACAATCAAAAACTGATGAGTATATTATGTAAGATGAGGAAGTATGTACCAGAAGCCAGCAGCTCAGCTACTAAAAGAAGTCCTTACTGAGAATGAGACCACAGGCTCAGGATGGATGGGATAGAAAACTGCAGCTTCTTCATTATAACCCTTTTGGAACTATTTGACTAACTTTAATAAAAGGCCAGGGATGGGGCCGGGGATTTAGCTCAGTGCCTACTTCGTAAGTGCAAGGTCCCAAGTTCGATCCCTGGTACTGAAGAAAATATTTATAAAAATTAAATTTTAATAGTATATTTTATGGCTGTTGAGTATTATATCTTTTTAAGATACTCATTATCTACATTATTGTCTATTATCCCTTTTGCAGGTACTGGGCAGTTGCATTGCCTGTCTACCTCCTTATTACTATAATAATCGGTTATGTACTCTTATTTGGAATTAACATGATGAGCACCTCTCCACTCAACTCCATCCATACAATCACAGGTAAATTTATATAAAAGCAAAGTGGTGGGGGAATGAAGAATTGGGATATTAGCACTTTTATCAGAAAAGCAGTCAAGAGCAGGCTACAAGACACATGTTGGGACAAAAGATCTATCTTTCTACTTCCTATTAGCTATCTTTTGTTCTTTATAGTTTGGGTTTCTCATACAAGAGAAACCATGCAATATTTAAGCTTGTGTGTCTCATTTCACTTAACATTATGGCCTCAAGGGGCATCCATTTTTCTACACATGACTCAAGTTTATCCGTCTTCATGGCAGAATAGTACTCTATTATATATGAATAAAAACCATACTTTCTTTATTCATTCATCTGTTGATTGACATATAGGCCACTTCCAAGATTCAGCTGTTAAGAGTTGTGCTGCTATAAACAGGTATGCATGTATCCGGTGATACAATGTCTTTAACAATAAAAAGAACTTAGAGGAAATAAATACCTCATACAGAGTTATACAAAAGGACACACATAGAGGAATAAAGTTACGATGAATGTGCACTAGTTATATTCATGGAGGAAATCAATTTGGAATTACAGCACTAGTTAACAAGTGTATTCCCTCATAAAAACCATAGATATATAAAGTATGCTCCTCAGCAACTTTGCTTGAAAGAAATTTCTTTATTGTAAACAGTCACTGTGATCAAAGGATGGCCAGTAGGCACATGCAGACCATGTTCACAGGGATTTGAGGGTGTGTATTCCCCTCTGGATCACTATGGACACCTTATGTCAGGTAAAGGGGTAGAAGAGCCATAGCATGTTTGTGGTTGGGGTTTTTTTCCCCCCCAAGTCTAAAAGTAGACAGATTCCTGAGCTTTCTCAGATTCTATGAAGTGAAATCTTTTTTCACTTCCCTTATGACTTTAACAGGCTGGGGATTTAGCTCAGTGGTTTCGCCACCTGCTACGCAAGGGCAAGGACCCGAGTTTGATCCCCAGTAACCCCCCCCCCAAAAAAAATACCCTTATGACTTTAACTTTTCCAAACCTTTATTTGTGAGCCTGTGCAATGTGTTTTGAAAATCAATTATAGTAGTTTTAATTTCTTACCTGATACCTACTGTATTCCCAGCATTCTTAACTGGAATTACAGCAAACAGGCAATTTATACAAAGTAAGGAAACTGTTAGTATCCCAGAACATTTACACCAAAAGATTTAATCGTCTTTCAGTGTTGATACAAATGCATCTTCAAGGCCTGCATATAACTCTATCCCTATGAGAAACATAAAATAAGACTTTAGTAAACATGATACAAGCTGGAGGAAATACTTACTTTTCCAAGTTAGAAATAAGAAAAGTACTTTGCTGGTTGCATTTTTATTTGAATATTTCTTCTAAAGAGAGGATTTAAGTAATCCTGTAATTATGTTAAACATGGTATTTGTCCTTACCTAGACATCAGCCAGGTGAACTCTGATGAGTCTTCATTAGCCAGAGACTTACAGGAGAAACTGCTTGGGTAAACAGAGTTTCTGTTCTTTTCTTATAGATAACTATGCTAAAAATCAACAGCAGAAGAAATACCAAGAAGAGTCCATCCCAGCGTTAAGAGATATTCCTATTAATGAAGTAAACCAAATGTTTTTTCTTGCAAACAAATGACCTTACACCAAAAATTGAGTTATGTGTAAACATACCAACATCAAGCATTTATTTCTAAGTTTTTGACAGAATAATTTTAACCCTAACTATATTGACTATTGCTTTTATTAATACCTAGTATTAAGATGTAAAAATATGAAAATTGATCTGTTAAAGTTCAATTAAATATTGAAAATGTTTTCAAATGTGAGTTAATGGACAGGATAAATAAAATACTGCATTAATCTATAGCAGACTGAAAAAAAATCATATTGGTATAATCAAGAAGTCCCAAGCCAAGCCAAGTGGCACACACCTATAGTCAAAGCTACTCAGGAAGCTAACGCAGGAGGATAGTGTTATGGATTGTCTCTAGATGTCCCTCCAAAGCCTCATGCGTCATAGGTGGAGCTTTTCAGAAGTGATTGGGTCTAGAGTGTGTGACATTGGGATTGATTCATGGTGCAATGCTAAGATAAGATATAATGGGCAGAATGAGGCTTATTACCTATTTGCTTTGCTACCTTCTGCCTGCCATGAAGTGTTTCTCCTCTGCAATCCCTGACTGCCACACCACCCTGCCTTGGAGCCAGCCAAGTATGGACTGAACCTCTACAGACTGTGAGCTAAATAAACCTTTCCTCCTTTAACTCTGGGTGTCAGGTATTTTGCCTCAGCAACAAGAAAAGTAACTAAAATAGATAGAAAGTTCAAGGCCAGCCTGTCAGCTTAGCATGACCCTCTCAGAAAGGGCTGAGTGTGGTAGAGCACTTGCCCAGCATGTACAAGGCTCTGGATTTAATCCCCAGCACAGCAAAAAAAAAAGAAAAAGTCCTTCCAGAGAGGCATTTGTGTTGTAGTTTGCAAAGGCAATTATGTTTTTCCTCCTTTTTGTCCTGATGAACAGGACTGGAATTCAAAACTTGGATTTTTGACAGAATAATCATTTTGACAGAATAATTTTGGGAAAAGGCTACATTTAATATTTGTGCCATCTGATTCATGTTTAAGACACATGTTTTTCTAGACACTGGGAATAGAATAATAGTAAGATTGTTCTTACAGAGCTTACATTTTGGAGGTAGACTAAGCAAATAAAATATGCTGAGTGCTACGCAAAGCATTGGGTAGTACATGTTCTAGAAAGTAAAGGGGTGACTACTTTAAATTCGGTGGTCAAAGGCAGCCTCTCAAAAGGAGGCAGTTGGGGGCCGGGGATTTAGCTCAGTGGTTTCACCGTGGGCTGCGCAAGCGCAAGGACCTAAGTTCGATTCCCGGTACCAAAAAAAAAGGCAGTTGGGTCTGAGAGCCAAAAATAAAAAAAGAACCAATCATATGAAGACTGGCCAGGGATGGTGAACTGCTGAGTGTGAAGCAGGTAGGTCAACAAAGGTAAAGTAAGGGGTTTGGGTGTCTGAGAACAGAGAGGTCACCAGTGGGCCTGGAGTCGACTAAACTGTGTTACAACAGAATACTGCATAGTCAGGTGCACAAAAATACTATAGCCAATGACATGAATGAATGTCACAATGTTGAGCAAAAAAGTCCTAACAGAACTATATACTGGATTTAAAACGTAGAGTTTTAAATCAGGAGAAAATGTATGGTGGTAAATATCAGAATGGAGGTCACCTTTGGGGAAAATATTAACTAGGAAGGGGCATGCAGGAGTCCACAGGTGAATTGGAAATGTCCTACATCTTGGTCTGGGTGGAAGTTACCTAGTATAATGTTTTAAGAAAATCATGGTGTTGCATCGTTAAGATTTGTGCTCTGACAAGGTATTGTGGTACACTCTTGTATTCCCAGCACACAGGAGGCTGATGCAGGAGGATTGTGAATTCCAAGCCAGCCTAGTTTACACAGCAAGTTCAAAGCCAGCCTGGTTTACATAGCAATTCCTTGTTTAAAGATTTGTGCTCTTGATGTAAGTTACACCTCAATAAAGGAAAAAACAGTGCCTAAATCTTGAAATCTTAATTTCAGTCTGGAGTGGGACCCAGGGAAGGGTAGCTTTTAAAAAAAATCTTCCAGATACTACTTTTTTTTTTGGTACTGGGGATCGAACTCTTCAAGATACTTCTAAGATGCAGCCAGTGCTGGGAATGACTGCCTGACCTGACTGGACATAACTAAGCCTGTGGTCAAGCAGGACAGTGACTGGTGACCACTTTGAGAAGAAACCCAGAAACTCAGAGCAGTCTTTTCCCATCATGTGAACAGTATTCCCTCATCTCCCCCTAGGACCAGGGATAGGCCTAGGAAGGCTCTGAAATGGAGCTGAATAGAAAATTAACTCTCATACTGTACCGCACTTCAACCTCAACTTTTTAGTCTGTGTCCCAATCACACTGTCTTTATAGCTGATAAATTAGGGGCACACATGCCAGGACTACAGTGCTTTGAGGATCATGATCAGCTTAGTGCTGCAATTCTCCAGTGTGTGCGTGTGTCTTACACACACATGCTAACACAATCTCAGGACCTCTTTTTACTCCAGCTTTTCTCTATGGGTTATTTTTAGAAATCAAAAATCCTACATTTTTGCTGTTTTTGTGGGGGTTTTTTTGGTACCGGGGATCAAACTTGGGTCCTTGCACTTGCGAGGCAGGCGATGGAACCACTGACTTAAATCCCTGACCCTGTTTTTGTTTTTTTGAGATAGGATCTCACTATAGGCTGGCCTTAAACTTGCAATCCTCCTGCCTCAGCCTCTGAGATTACAGGCGTGCACCATCACCTCCATTTGTAATTTTTTTTATAAAAAATCAATTACTTTTTGTTATAAAATTAATTTTTCTGGTCATCACACTCTTACCACATAGTAAGCAACAGGTTCTGCCACATAAACTTCTAACTATATTTCTATAATAATAATCACTATAGTAAAAAACTAAATACAGAAAGAAAATGGAGTTTAACATAAATGTTTTTTTAAAGAAATGATTCAGTAGGGCCGGGGATTTAGCTCAATGGTGCCACGCCTGCCTCACAAGCACAAGGGGGCCTGAGTTTGATCCCCGGTACTGGAAAGAAAAAAAGATTCAAACTCCTTGGACTCATATAACCACATATACCATTAAATTTTACCCTTTTGAAGATGCATTCAAGCTTGTCCCATTTGTCTCTTCCAGTTTTGGAACGTCATCGCATTCAGGAGTATGGGGGTGTGGACCCAGACTTTTGTTTTTGATACCGGGGATTGAACTCAGGACTTTGTGCTTTCGAGGCAGGCAGTGGAACCACTGATATAAATCCCTGGCCCTACATTTTGTTTCTTTAATCATCTTTCAGATGTTTCTCCTTATATTCAGTGTGATTCACCAGCTCACCTTTTGAGTCTCTATTGCAAGCATATGTGGGGATGTAAAGGATAAAATGATAAAAAAAAATCAGAATCCTGATGCTAAAAATTAATCATCTTTTCATGAAAACTAGCTGTATTTTTCAAAACAAAAAACAATTGTGAGACAAGTATTCTTGTTTTATATTTTTGCAACTCTCTTTCAGGTCTGGCTTAATGGAAGACTGTTGGGTTTTCACACCTGCTTCTGTATTTACTCTGTTACATTTCCACATATCCCAAGGCCTTTGGGAAACTCCATGGCATATTCATGACAGATTAAAGATTAAAAAAAATCAAGCAACATCTTTTTATTATTTTGAAAATGGTTGTGACCTTAAAGACCCCGAGATAGGGCCTGTGGACCCTAGACTTTGAGAACCACTGATTAATGGGCCTCAATTAGCCAGTGTGTATAAATGAGAGGGGTGTGTGTGTGTGTGTGTGTGTGTGTGTGTGTTGAACTACAGTAGAGCAGGATATATTCTACTGCACTTGGTAAGGGCAAATATTTTGATCGGACAACTCTTGTGGCCACTTAGCCCTTCTGTGCCATCTTCCTGGAGCTGGTGATGCCCAAACAGTTCTGTGCATCTTTTGACCAGGTCCATGCAGGTACCACCTGCAGTGCATCCTGGAAAGAAGGGGTTAACACCTGTAGGACCAACTAGAGTCAACATGGCCCCTTTCATCCCCAAGGAGAAGAGGGGAGGAGGGGACAGTTCTGTTCCTTGAGCTCCTCAGAATGTCTCCTAGGTCTGAGCAGAGGCGGTTACCATGGCAACGGAGCTGAGTAACACCTGACTGCGTCAGCTTTGCTGCTTCAACCCACTCCTGTTCCTTTCAGTTACTGCCTACGCACCAATCTTCGTCAGAAGCTCTGCTTTCAGGTGAACTTCCGGCTGAGATATTTTTGTTATATAAAGATTGTACATCACTTATAGGGCCATGATGCATTTCTATTCCATGTGTTTTTTGTGATACTGAGGACTAAGCCCAGTGAGCTACATCTCAGGAACGTTTTTTAAATTTTTTGAGGCAGGGTCTTGCTAAGTCACTAAGTTGCCCAGGTTGGGCTTCCATTTGCCATCCTCTTGCCGTAGCTTTTCCGAGTGCTGGGTTTACACGTGTGTGTCACTACACCTGGCTGCATGTCAAAATTTAAGAAAAAGGTGTGAAAGAAACTGTTTTGTAATGAGCCTGTTATGATGGAGGTCTAAAATGTTCCGTAAAAGTCCCATCTGTTCACACATGTGGCTCTTAGAAGGTGAATGGGTCACGGGGGTATTATACTCATCACTGATGAGATTGTAGCCAAGACAGGTCAAGCTGTGGCAGCTGTAGCTCTCTGGCACTCGGTTTAACTCTTCTGGGTTAACTACGGCACCTCCTTTGGGAGCAGGAGGAAATTTGCTTACCCCTCCTTGTCTAGTCAGGATAGGGCAAGCACAACAGAAGCTTGCTTTTCAAAGAACAGCCCTCTGAGCCAGGGATTTAGCTTAGTGATTCTGCTGCTTGCCTTGCAAGTGCAAGGACCTGAGTTTGATCCCCGGTACCAAAAAAAAAAAAAGAAAAAGAACAGCCCTCTGAGACAGCTACCAGTTGTGATCGGGGCCACACGGATAAGGATGGTGGTATCTTGGTGCCTGCTTGCATGGTCCCATCACCAGGAAGCAGGTATTCTCCACCTCTGGGCCCCAACACTACACAAGCCAGAGGCCAGAGATGTGATGGAGACCTCAGGTAGGGACCAAAGAGGTCCGTCAGAAAATACAATTACATAGGGCCAGGGATTTAGCTCAGTGGTTCCGCTGGCTGCCTCGCAAGTGCAAGGACCTGAGTTCGATCCCCGGTACCGGAAAAAAAAAAAAAAGAAAATACAATTACAGTTCTTCAACTAATGTATTTGTGACCCAGGATTTATATGTACATTATACAGGACTAGAGCCCCTCTGAGGTGCTTGTAGTTCCTCAGTTTCTTCTGGCATCCTTAGAGGGAAGAGGAAAATACGCAGGGAACTTTTGTAACATCTTTAGAAGACAGAATAGCGTTCTTCCTTCTTGCCGCCTGGTTTGTGGATTTAATGGCAAATTCCAAATGTCCCCTTGGACATGAGTATCCCAAGGAACTTAGAAACCAAACAGCAGCAGAGCAAAAAGGGCCCAATCCTATCATCCACCAGCCTTGGACAGCATACTTTTGCATTTGGACATTTTTTTTAAGTTGGTTATGGTATTGAAGATCTTTTTTTTTTTTTTGACATCTTCTTTCCACCACTGTTATTTTGGGTCATCCTATCACAGCCAACACTAACCCCAATACAGTGCCCTTTAGCGTTCCATGCACAAAGCCTGCTGGTTGCCAGAAGAGGCCTAGATAGCTTTTCTCAACACAGAGATAAGGAGAAAAAGAAGAAAGAGTGCAGCTTAAGAAGTTTTAAAGCCATATACTAATTGTTTAATCAGTCTTCTGCTAAGAGAAACCACCAGCAGAGTGAAGAGACAACCCACAATGTGGGAAATTTTTACCAGCTGTCCCTAAGACAAAGGACTACTATCTAGAATATATAAAAAACTTTAAGCAATCAGAGCCCTCAAATTTAAAGACGCAGTCCAAAAATGGGCATCTGAAATGAACAGACACTCCTCAGATGAAAAAGTAGAAGCAGCAAATAAGCATATGAAAACATGTTCAACATCACTGGTCATTCGAGAGATGCAAATGAAAACAACGCTGAGATTCCACCTCACCCCAGAAAGAGTGGCTGCTATCATGAAATCAACCAATAACAAATGCTGGCGGGGCTGTGGGGAAAGAGGAACACTGCTCCACTGCTGGTGGGAGTGTAGACTGGTGCAACCACTGTGGAAATCAGTGTAGAGATTTCTCAAAAAACTAAAACTAGAAGGCCAGTGATTTAGCTCAGTGCCACTGCCTGCCTTGCAAGCCCAAGGTCCAGAGTTCAATCCCCGGTACCCCTCCAAAAAAGCACCTAAAACTAGAGGTTCCATTTGACCCACCTATACCTCTTCTTGGTATCTTCCTGAAAGAATTAAAAGCATCATACCACAGTGATATATGCACAGGCATGCTTACAGTGGCATAGTTTGTAATAGCTGAATCTTGGAAACAGCCCAAATGCCCATCAACTGATGAGTAGATAAAGATGTGGTTTTTTTATACAATGGAGTACTACTCTCCCATAAAGAAGGATGAGCTTCAGACATTTATAGTTAAAATGGATGGTCCTTGAGACAGTACTCCTAAGTGAAATAAACTGGTCACACATGTTTAAATACATGGAAATAAGGACTGAAATGTATAATGGATATTGAGAAATGGGAAGAAAGTATTCAAAGAGAAAGGAGATCGAGGGAGGGGTGGGGGAAAGGAAAGAAGGGAAAGAAAAAAATGAAAAAAAAAATGGAAACAAAGCTTTTGTAAATAGGGAGGGGTGGAGAGGTCAAAGGGAGAAAGGGGAATGGGAATAAATAAGAACCAAGATATATCATGTACAGGTACAAATTCCCAATGATGAATGTGATCATAATGTATACCTAAAATGTACCAATAAACTTAACAAAAAAGTCTTCTGTGGGCCAGGGATTTAGCTCAGTGGTTCTGGCACCTGCCTCGAAAGCGCAAGATCCTGAGTTCAATCCCCGGTAGCAACAACAACAACAAAAAACCCCAAAAAGTCTTGTGCTAAGTACATTATATTATTGATGGAAAGATATAGATAGACAGATAGATAGACAGATAGATAGACAGATCTGTTCAAATGCAGGTTTTCCCAAATCTAATAATTCTGGAAGGCCCAAGAATCTGTTTTTTCAAGAGGCATCTCTGGAAACTAATAGGACAAAGCTTCATCTGCAGCCATACCACCCTGAACGCTCCAGTTCTCATCCAGTCTTGGAAGCTAAGCAGGATCGAACCTGGTTACTTTACTACTTGGAGACCAACACAGACTATACCACGGATCAGGAGTCGACAAACTGGGTCTTCAAGCCCAAAACCTGAGTAAAGATGGCGTCCAGGCTACAGATGCTTCTCTAGCTGCACAAAAAGCTCCTCACTGCCGCCCGTGGCTCGTCATTCCCTACACGTGCATGTACGGGCCTACTCCTCCTCCTCCAAAGGAAACCCTGACCCTGTGGTCTTATGCTTCCAGGACGGGGAAGGAAATGTATGTATATTTCTTTGGTGAGTCTATAGCAGCAAAAGCACAAAATCCCAGGAAGGAACCCAGCAATCATCACTTACCCATTTTTGCTAATAAAGCTAATTTAGGACTTGTGACTCCTTTTATTTAAGTCAATAGGTTTGACATGTTTGTTCACATGGTGAATCATCATCATTTGTCCATTTTGGAATAATCACTAGTCTCACTGGCTATTAAAGCAAGTAAAGAATAGTAGGTTTTTGTTTCAAAAGTTGAATAGGTTTGGCATGCTTACTCACAGTGCAAATAAATACACACTAGAATGGCCAACTACCAAGGAGCAACGTCAAGAAAAACATGGGCTTTTTTTAAAATAAAAATTTTATTTTATCCCTTACCCCCTCAAATCCCCTATGTACAACAGCTTTTTTTCCATTTTTCCTATTTTCACTTTTTTCTTGTCCCTTCCTTCCCCCTCCCTCCTCCCTTGTTCCCCTTCCCATTTGAATATTTTCTTCCCATTTCCCAACATCCATTATACATTTCAGTCCTTATTTCCACTTTTGGTTTCTCACACCAGAGAAACAATGCAGCAAAAACATGGGCTTTGACATCCTCCATCATCACTTCTGCTTCCAGCCTGTGTGCTATTTAATAGGATACTGAGGGCTGGGATGTAGCTCAGTGGCGCTGCGCCTGCCTCACAAGGGCAAGGTCCTGAGTTTGATCCCTGATACTGGAAAACAAAAAAAAGGGGACTGACCCATCTCTTTTTTCCCCCATTAAGTTTATTGGTACATTTTAGGTATAAAATAGTTACATTCCTCGTCGGGATCTTGTACCTGAACATGATGTATCTTAGTTCTTATTTTTTCCCCATTCCCCTGCCCTCCCTTCACCTCCTCCACCCTTCCCTATTTACAAAGAGTTTGTTTCCATTTTTTCTTTTTCTCACTTTTTTTCTTTTCCCTTCTTTTCTTTCCCCTACCCTTCCCACTAAAAGCGTAAATAAGGTTCAAATGGTGTAACTGATAATGTGAAATAGGAAGAGAAATTCTAAAGGAGTAGGGAAAGTAGGACTAATGGAGTAGGACTGAGGCTTCTAAGACCCTTTTCTTCATCTGTAAAAGTAAA